ATGAAGATCAACCCTTCTCAATACTAAAACAATATACTTAATACACTAGAAATATCCGTACGTACTCGGATTTTCTGATAAATATTAAGTTAATAATTAAATAAGCTCATGACGGCTATAAAATATCTGCAAAAATCCCTATCACATCGTTAAATATTTGAGCTTAACAACTTCAACAAAATATTGCAATAACAATAATAAATATGGATGCTGCTTGTTATTTTAAGAAGTAAAGGTGTACAAATGAAACATTTTGAAAGTAACATTATTATTTCACTGAAACAGACGATAAGCACTTCTGTATTCCCGTCTTTCTTTCTTTCTTTCTTTCTTTCTTTCTTTCTTTCTTTCTTTCTTTCTCACTGAAATCAAGTAGCGTCACTAATATGTCTTTTCCGTCTTTCCACGCGTCCGAAATGGAATAGTCCATTATTTATGAAGTATTGCCAGGAGACGAGATCTCTAGTATGTCTTTTCCGTCTTTCCTCGTGATCAAAATGGAATAGTTTATCATTAACGATGTATTAGTAGGGTGTAATGGTTGTGCTAGCTAATGTAAAGACAAGCAGAATTATAATAAAATTTTCACGTCTGGAACTCTCTTCCGGTTCCTTTCTTTCCAGTCAAATGCGTTCTTCAAAAATTTAAATACAATGTAAATTGATATCTTTTGTCCCCTTAATTTCTGGTTTTTTTTTTGTTTTTCTTATTGTTTTCTCTTCTTAATAATTTTTTTCTGATTTTTATATTCTTTCACATTCAGTAACTGCTTACATCTTAGTGGCTTTATTTCCTTTCTTGAGGTTAAATGATTAAAAAGTATTCTGTTTTCAGTACTGTTCTTGTCTGGATGATCCTTCTTCTTGCTTTGATTTCCAATTCTTTTATCGAGATAATTCTCCATTTTCTTTAACAAGGGAGTAATTCAGGTCTTTGGATCTGGATTGGATTACTCGTTTGAATTTGAAAGTCCGAGAGGGTGTTATGGTAACCAGGTTCAGATTCTAGTCAGTGTTTAGGCCATTAGTCTTTCGGATCCAACCAGAGACCTAAGGTCAGAAATGTCTTCATAACATTTTCAAAAAATCACATTTGTACAAAAAACAAAACAAAAAGATAAAACTAAGAGCACGCACATAGATAAAGCTCTTCGTAATGTGTGGGATGTACTTGTGAGTACAATGTTTGTATTTTTTAAGGCATGGGTTACTAGGAATCCCTTTAATAAGTATTGGATTCTTTTCCCATAAATCGTCGAACTCCAACTACAACTGAAATTATTTATGTTCTCTGTGTGCTACATTTTTTTTTTTTAGATTTCCACGTCAAGATCTTTGTATTTTAACAGTTTCTGAAGATCTTCACAAATACATTAGAATCTGCAGAGACTGCTATGTCAATAAGAAAGCACATCCTATTTTTGTAGTCTTTGATCACGATGTCTGAGCGATAGGCTTTGATTAGAACAATCAAAGCTAATCTGTGTGACAGTAAAGTCCCATAAAATTGTTGCAGGACCTAACTCTGTACTCTGTAATCGGACCTGGGTGATGTTCATACTCGATACAAGATGGTCAATTGTTTCTGGATATTTATAACAGAATCTGCATTTCGAGGTAACACAATTTTTCAGTATGTGTGCTTGGTAATTATTATTATTATTATTATTATTATTATTATTATTATTATTATTATTATTACTGAGCATTACCAATGCAGCTATCCTAACTGTGATGGGTAAAAAGATCCGCATATTTCTAACAGACTTATCTTTTGAATTCAAACGATTTCAGTTCCCAATGAGGATCAGCTTTGTCGGTTTCAAGCTGACTTTTCCCCTGGTAAGCACCATTTTGTTTGTTCTTGGGGTGGATCCCCCAAACAACCTTTTCAGACTGACACCCAATGGGAGATGTGTTGATATTGTGCACCCAGAAGACCTAAGGACCGACTTACAAGTTTTTTTGTTTTGTTTGTTTTTTTAATAAGTAACTCTGTTTTCCTAGTTATTATTTCTCCACTCAAATTTGACTAAAGCTTCCATGTGCCTTTTCTATAAATATTTTCAAGGTAATCGTTCTGATGAGCTTTCCTCTTTAGTACCTAGATTTTATGAATTTAAACGTACTAACACAATGGCGGTAAGGCTTCATAGTTTCACAGCTGAAATGTCTAGGCGTAAGCATAAGTGATTCCTTAAGAGGACGGTGGAAAGATGCCGGGGGTGCGGCGAGAGAAAAGTGGACAGTCAAAGAGTGGCAGTAGCACATCTGAGCCATAAGATACACCACACACATACGCGCGCGCGCATATAAACATTGTATCTGTACTGTACATTGCACCCAATTTATATAACAATTATAATGGGAAATACTGACATACTCAAATGACATGCAATACTAGCACCAAGAAAATCGAATCAAAAGTTGACTATACATTGGAGTGGGGTTACGGTCGTGTCTATACGTTTCAAGGGCGTAAGGTCTGCGTTTTGGCACGC